CAAAAGAAGAACAATACAAGAACATTAACTTACCTGAGTTGGGCAGCAAGGAAGTCAACATTTTTAGCACATTCGTCGTTTCTAAAACATCATCTTCTACTACTCGCACAAACGTCTGGGAGCTTAGCACACTCGCTTGAATAATATCCGATTTGCATTGCATTTTTAAAAACTCAATGTGATGTTATGCTCAGCTACCTTCTTTTCCCAGCTGTGAGTGTTTTTCTTAAAATTTTTTCACGGCATGCCGATATTTTCACAACCACGATGCGGTGGTTATGTTTTTCGACTTATCCATTGCTTTGGCAATGTAAAGAAATTATGTATTTTGTGCATTACTTTACCGGACTGCAAGTTGAAAATCTTTTCTTAATATTTCCTTTCATAAACTTCATAAAACCTGGTATATATAGCCAAAACGTCCCACTTATGAGCGCTCAATAACCATCCGTCTATTCTCGTTGCTGCACAAACTAGGGATGCGCGATGTTAGCCGATGATGTTCTGTCAAAATAAGACAGAAGGGAGCAAAAAGAAGACAGAATGGCGGGAAAATAAGAGGGAATGGCGCGAAAAGAAGACAGAATGGTGGGAAAATAAGAGAGAATGGCGCGAAAAGAAGCCAGAATGGCGCCAAAAGAAGCATGATGAAGCACCATGCGAAAAGAGACTGCATGGCGCAATTGCGCTGATTCAATGCGTTGATACCGGTTATGGCGCTGGCTTCAAGGTATCGGCGCCAGAAAATTTGCTGCGTTACCCAGGCCTAGAAACTACTTAATAATCGCACTTAAAGAACATACGCGTCATGTGGGTGTGGGCGTCCCATCACAGAATTGGCAAAGCAGCATTGGACTCCGTCAAGTTAAAAGATCAATAGGGGGAAACAAAAGAGATATAGTTTTATCATTTGCCTGCCTTGCCAGGTTAAAGATCTGGCCAACTTTCCCCTGCCGCTTTTGCGACTCAGCTTCCTGAGTGGGAGGCAGTGGCAAGACTTTGGGAAAAAAGTCTGAGCTCAATGTAGCCAGAGAATACGGAAATTGACATTATTGCCCTTTCAACATTAAATTTGCGGAGCTTCGCGACGGCCGGCGTCCGCGCCCCGCACCGCGTTGCATCACGCCACGCTCGCACTCGGTTTAAAATTACGTCCACTTTTCTCATAGGGGTAAATTTCAGAAATACGGAAACTTTGATATTTAGAACAAACCGTTTTCAATTATTATTTTCTTTTTATTGGATTAGCCATTTTGGTTTAGTTCTGATCATTGTGTAATGAATTTTTATATGAACATTGAGGTCGGTTGTATGTTTTGCGTAAAAATTACTTTTTTTTTTAAATGGGTATCAAACTAGCTGTAGCTTCATTTTGAAAACATTACTGAAGAGCGTTAAATGAAGTTTTATATTAAGGGATAGAAACGTGGGGTTTAGGAAAACTTCATTTCGAAAATATTATTTAAGTGGGTTTTCGACTTTTAGTGATTCGAAACAATAGTCTCAACACTTATAATTGTTATTAAAAATGTTATATTCCTTAAGCTGTACAGATTATTTTACAGTAAGCAAAATTATAAAGAAATTATACACTTTCTAATTTTTTTTATGCACAAAGAAATTAAATCTGGGTCTTAAAAAATCTTGGAAATGCTGGGATTCAATATTAAGTTTTATAGTTAGTTTCAAATACATATAGTTATCTTGGAAAAACATGATTTTTTTCATTCGTGAAACATGCTGGAAAGGACTTATACCTTTTCCTTTAAACAAAATTCACTTGAATACATATTTCATTAAATATTAATCAGTTGAACATACTAAATTTTTTTTTAAATTATATAATATATAAAACTCTCCTGTAGAAGAAAAACCCGTTTTACAAAATTACTTTAAATTACCACGCTTCTATGGTTCACAGTTTTTTCCATGCCAAGTTAAAGCAAAGCCATAACTTTCAGAAACACATACACCCGTACCCAATTACGAGCATCTCGACCTATTAAATCTCATCAAATGATCTGAATTTATGAAATTTTATTCATTCATAATTTCTTTTATGGCATCGGAGAATTTTTCGTTTTTATGCATTTGGCACTAAAACAAGTGCGTTTTGCAAAATGAAATTGCCAGCAATAGAATTTCCGCAGAAGGCGTAATAGATGCATCCAACAACAACAAGACAATGCCAACGCTGACATAGCTGCATACATATGTATGTATGTACATACATACAGCTGACAGTGATGAGAATGACATCATCTCAGCGCTTTTGAAATGCAACGTTTCTCATTAAAAATGGGTGATTTGAATGAATTGTGTCGAAGTGATGCATTCAAAACGAAAAAAAAACGAAAACAACGGGGAAGGGGAGGTGTCTGAAAAAGTGTGATGTTAAGTGATGGCAACGAAACATGTGCAGTAAATTGCAAAAGTGCAAAAATCTGCTAAATGCCACGATCCAGAAAATAAAGGTCGCGCCATTCGCGGACCGCTAACCCTCTCATCGTCGATTTGACAGCATCCACCCAATCGCTGACGTCATAAAATACTTTTGTTTACATTCACTGTTGCCAACTTAATGCT